TTAACTGCATAGAAAACTTATTTGTCTTTCATAACTGGCATTAACTTTAAGAGACTCCAAGCCGATTAACCATGCGGATTTTATTGCAGCTTAATTTTAAAGCATTTCCTAGACAGTAACCTTTGCATAAACCAACCAAATCATGAAGCACAATGAGCCTATTTTGTGATGCTAAACTATGTATTCTGCACTAATATGCCTTTGTTATAAAGTATGTGATGGTAATCAGATAGCAAAATAGCCTTGTGAAACATATCTACTGAACTTGAAACACCACAAACTAGTTATACGATGTCATGACCGAGCAAAAATACAATTTCCTTCATCTCATTACTAATTATGTATCTTTATTTTAAAGGATTTTACCAAAATTCCTAGCTACTAGTATTCTCTTGCTGCTATAGTGGTCACTGGTGTATTTATAAACAGCTGTATACATGTACCTGCCATGATATATAATCAAAAAAAGACATTTCAACTAACAAATTATTGATATATGTGTGTTGTATAGCATCATATATTGTATTATTGGAAATTATAGTATTTTAACCAGTTTAACACTATTGCATCCAACATATTTTTTCTCCATGATAAAAACCCACTTTTGGAACATGCACTTGTATTTGAATTATATGCAACAAAGATTAAATAATTATTTTACTACCTTTATCAGTTTATTTCTATAAATGCATACACAAAATGTGACTATCATATTACCAGTTCATCGTCAGTTCCCGGATTGAGTACAGTTGTATTACAATGGCTCCCAGAGTTTGGATCAACCAAGAGGTGGTACTCTGGCTCTTTACTACCTGTCATATAATAATAATCAATATATTATATTCATGATTTAAAGTGAAGATTTCAAACAATCTTTGTGACCTTTGTGGCATTCTTGTATTTTCACAATCATTACAATGTGTACTGGTATTCTATGTATAACATTAAGTGTCTGCAGGGCCCAAGGATATAAGAGCTGTCCACATTTTCACATCTGCACATGTCGCACATGTCGCACATGTCGCACATTTGCGAAAATGCATTGTGGTCAGCGCTTATAATTATATCCATGAACCGTCTGCAGTACGGCAGTGTCTTACAGTCACAACACCTGTACATCGTTACTTGAACGAATATATGCATGCATCGATAAAAAATTAATATGCTGACTTCTTGTTAACGTGGTTACACGATGATACCACTCGTATCTCTTAAAGCCCTGGCCCTAATTGACTAAAATGACACCAATTAATTTGAGCTATTAGTATTAATGACAATAATGTGACGTTACGTCGTTAGCTGTGGCGAAATTCGGAATCTATAGGCGCGTTCCTTCACACGGACGTTTTTTAGGCCAGAAGCCTAATTAGGCGCGCCCAAATTTGGCTCGACGGGCCGGAGGTTAACCAAGGAACGGTTTCGGGGCCGGTGCCGAGTTAGCACGAGCCAATTTGCGTCCATTGAAACGTCTGACCAGCGTCCGAGCAAATTTTAAACACAGCTAAATCGGTTAGAGCCGGCCCCAGAAATGTCCGCGAGTGTCGTAACGTGTACTTCCGACGAAATAAAGTCTCAAAACAGTCATAAAAATTCAAAAATTTTTGATCAGCAGGGTTCTCCCAGGATGAAGTGAAACGGGGGAGCCGGCGGGAGGGGGGAGGGGGAGGGAAAAATTGTGCGGATCGGGGCCCTGGTCGAATCACTGGCCCAGCCAAGAACACCAGTCCACAACCTGCGAGCTACAACACACACGCCATCTATTGACTATATATAACAAAACACTTATATATAGTTACTATATTAACTACTATACAACTATAGCCTACTATAACGAACTATTAACTACATAAACAGCTATAAAACGATGCACCGGGGCGATCGAATTCGTGAATCATCTACAATCCTGATGAATCGGCACGAACGCAAACTTCTGTGTTTTAAAGTCAGATATACATAGGACCCTGCTGCACTTATCGGCACGGTTAGTTACATAGGTTCTTGTTCGTGCGACTATAGATGGGCAGAACTGTGAGCCGACAGATGCGAGGTTCCGTAAGAGGTGTTTAATAAGGTTTGTGAAAGCTGAAAGAAAGCGAGAGTGATCGTCGAAAATTTGCGCAAAACGGGTTCCTACTTTCTCTTTATATATTATTATCATATATAATGGCGACACAGCACACTCGCAGCGGCGAGTGCGTCTTGTGAGCGATTCGGGCGTTATTTTTACGTTGTGGCCTATATGCCCGGCAGCCGGGACGTCTGCTCTTCGATTTCCTAAATGCCCGGCAGTCCTACCCCTAACCCTTACAACCCTTGTTTACCTCTCGACGATAACAGCTGAAAATGAAAAACTGGCCCTTAATAAAAATTAATAAAAAATTTAGGAATCGAACGACCGTTGCCCCGGGCAGCCGTCAGCATATAGGCTGGCTGCCCGGGCATATAGGCACTCTGTTCTTTAATACGCTCTTGTACGCTATCAGTACATACTTTTTGGCCGCCCAATGCGAAAGCAAACGGGCGTATATATAGATTAATACAGAGGTCATATTGCATATTGAGGATATTTTATAGTTGCCCTACCCCATGTTACATTCTGATTTCAGTGTGTGTGCTGTGTGTGTAGGTGTGTGTGTTGTGTTGTGTGTGATGTGTGTGTGTGTGTGTGTGTGTGTGTGCCGTGCGTGCACGCCGTGCGTGAGTGTGTGTGTGTGTGCGCGTGTGTGTGTTTTACATTTGTTTGTGCGTGTGTGTGTGCGTGCTCGCTTTTTTTTTTTTTCATTTATGTGCTAGGTGTGGCCGGAGCGTTGCCAGTGCGTGGGTCGGGCCGAGTTGTGTGTGTCGCAGAGTGCGTGTGACATACAGTTCGTTGGTATGGCATGTTTACACTAGACGTTGGATATGTGAAAAATAACCAAACTACTACGTAAATGGGTTGGCTATAGTGTTGGTGCAATGTACGTAATCCGCATCATGCGTTAAATGATGTGTAAATTGTACAGATGTTCGCTATATGCCCGGCATGCGGCATACATATCTGACCGGCCTGCTGGGCACGTTCTTCAGATTTCCTAAATGCCCGGCCAGGTTTTAATTTCCAGTGTATCTCAAGTAAAAACAAGGGTTAGTTTAGGGTGTAGGGTTAGGACTGCAGGCCCATTAGGAATCGACGCACCGTGACCCGGCTGCGGCGCATTTAGGAAATTCCGTCAAGACCGTGCCGGCTGCGGGCATATCAGCCACAGCGTAGCTTTTATGAAGGAAAAGTTGATATACCAGTGACACAATAGTGGAACTGTAATTGAGAGGTACGGTAGTATTTGTGGAATGTGCACTTCATATTATTTTCAGTTTTTACTTGACTCTGTCCAAGTGCCTGTGCGCTGTAGGCTCACAGACACAGGGCACTTGAAGCGTTTTCAATAAAACTATAATGCCTAAACAAATACGAAAATCATATTTACTACTAAATTCTTAATGTTCTATACTTCTCTTTCACCTATTATTGCCGACAGTTTCCTGTAAATTCTGTAACAAATCCTCTATGTGCCCAACACAGCGCTTACGAGCCGCCATTCCTCACGCTGCCACCACTGACACTAATAGCCGCCACAATGCGCATTCCAAACGAACTAATTTCTCTAGTATAGACTAGCAAATACCTTCCGTGTACAGGCATAATCACACATACCTTATGACAATAAACTACTAGTTTCCTCCAATTCACTGCCGCGTTGTTCTTATAAAAGGTATTTGACAATACTCCAATGTTGTTAAACTTTCTCGATGTTGTTGACAGTTCGCCGGTGTTGCTCTCCAAGCAACCGCTGCAGCGGGTGCTGCGCGCTTACAGCGGTAGCGGGTGTAGCAAAGATAAACCATGTGACGTTCACCTAACCACTTCGAGGCTAAATTGCTTTGGCAACACAGAGTCGGCGTTAGCTGCAGAATTGCCAGTTTGTCTTACCTCTTTCTGTTGTGGTTTAAAGCAAACGCGCAGTGAAATGGAGGAACTAGAGTTTATTTTGTCATAAGTCAGTGTGATTATGCATGCACGAAGATATTTGCTACGGAGAAATTCAGCGTTTGGTGCCGCATTGTGCGGCTGTACAATAATATATAGCCAGCGTAGGAAAGCGCGGATCCTAAATTCGCTCGACCGCGCGCTTGATTTCCACGATACAACACAAATATTCAAACCATTATTACTCCATCTTTGTTTCTATTTCAGAACAGTGTTCACTTGTTATGAAAAACAATACTGTATCTTGTTTGTTAACCGAGCTGCCTGTCACGCCGAACATCACAAAAGGACTGACGAAATTCTCGCGTTTCGTAAAACGTTGCCCAGTAATGTAAATGACTGCAAGTACGAGGGCTATATAAGACTGGCTTGAC